TAAAAAAAAAGGTAATCTAAGTAAAAATAAATATATATATTCTCAAATATTTAATCTAAAAAAATAAAAAATAACTATTATTTTGGGATAGAGAAAGTGAGTAGGCAAGTAGGCAAAGCTCCTTATATATTTGGTGATCATCTCTTTAACCCCAAGTCTCTTCCATCCATTTTGGCTTTGTATTGTGGAAAGCTCTTTGTATCCAAGATTTATTCGGCTAAAATAGTTCCGCCTTATGTCCTCAACAAATCAACAAGTAAGCTTCCATATTGGTCAAAAATTAAATGTTACTCTCTTCGTATTTATTAATGTATCATATATGTAATATATCATATGTTTATTTGGCTAAATTGCTTCATTGATTTAACTTCTTCCAATCTTGAGTTTCTAGTTAATTTTTTTTTTCATTTATTTTTCTCTATCTGAAAGCTTTACTTATTTTAACTTTTTATCCTTTGGCATCCATAATACATATTTCATTGTTAACAAATTATAGTAAGTTTCTATATTTTATATCAGGGGATGGCGCAAATGAATAACACTGCCGAGATTTGTATAGAAATAGATATAGATCGCTGGGCACAGGGACTTCCTGCCGAATTTTCTTCATGGCCCAAAATTTTTCAAGTGCCTCCTTATCTCCGCAACCTAAATGAAAAAGCCTATGAACCTAAACTCATTTCCATTGGACCTTATCATTACCAAAAAGATCATTTAAAAGCAATGGAAACACAGAAGGGGCGTTTTCTAAAAGATCTTCTTCGACGAACAAATCAGAAAAGTGCTCAAAGATTTGAAGAGGCCATGAGAGGTATAGTGGAAAAGGCTCGTTGCTATTATGCGGAATCTTTGGTTATTTCCGATCAAGAATTCTTAAAAATGATGGTTCTTGATGGATGTTTTATTGTCGAGCTATTCGCCAAATTAAGTGATGAAAGCTGCAACGATTCCCTCCAAAGCATGAACCGCCTCTGCTTGAACAATATTTTGGAAGATTTGATACTAGTTGAGAATCAGCTTCCCTTTTTTGTACTATGGGAGTTTTTAGGCATCGCCTCTCAGGATCGAAGAACTTGGATTGAGGGAATTATTGTGTCGTATAAAGGAGTAATGCCAAAGCTCAAGAATTGTAAAATCTATGAAGAAAGATCAATAAACGAGGTCAAGCATCTATTAGAAATATTATGCACCAATTGGCTTTCTTCAGTAGGTTCGATGCCTGAAGGCAAGCAAGGGGAAAGACATGTTAAGTGGGATTTCATTCGTTCGGCTACAAAACTAAGAGAGGCAGGAATCAAATTCAGAAGGGGTAATGAACACGACTTGTTTGACATAAAGTTTGAGAACGGGACACTTTACATTCCACCTGTGAATTTTGAAGACCGGATTGAGCTATTGTATTTCAATATCATTGCCTATGAACAGTTTGACAACAGTGGATCTCGAAAACGCTTAACTGAATATGTAACTGTCATGGATTTTCTCATTGATACTGAGAAGGATGTGGAGTTACTTTGTCAAAAAGATATCATGTATCACTGGCTTGGCACTGACGAGGCAGCTGCCAAGATGTTTAATAGGCTCGGAAGTGAACTCTTGATCAACTCAGACTTCTTCTTTTACGCTAAGCTATTTAATAATGTCAACAAACATTGCCACGAGCCTTGGAACAGAAGGATGGCAAGCTTGAGGCACAATTATTTCAACACTCCTTGGGCTTTGATATCCTTTTTTGCAGCAGCTTTCTTGCTTCTACTTACCATCCTGCAAACAACATTCGCAATTTTCCCTCGGTCTTGAAACTGCCTGAAACCTTTAGAATGGAGGGAACAACGTGGATCATCAGCAGAAAGCATCGAGGTCTGTGAGAAGTGCAAGGTGTTAAGAGTGCATGCATAGACTGGTTTGAACTGTTTTCATATATATCCTTCTGCGTCTTCCTTTAATTAATAAGTGTGTATCTGAACCTGCCCCTTTGGCCAAGCGATTTTGGTCACTCTCGTAAGGTTCAGATTTTCCTTCAAAGGTAACGGTTCGAGCCAACACCATGATAAAATGTTAAAAAAAAAAAAAGTGTATCTACTCTTAGTACTTTTTTTTTTTTCTGTTTGGTTGGGTTTCTTTAGACTTTTATATTATAATGTACTTTTTTTGGCATAAGATCTATTAAATGAAAACTTTTTAATATTTTTAGAAAATTTATAGACTTCACATAATTTATATTAAAATGAAATAATCAAATCTATATAAAAAAAACCTTTAGACAGAGAAACTTCAAACTCATTCTTAAAATATAATGAAAATTATTCTCCATAATGGCTATTACTACAACTTTACAAGTACCTCATAGCATACTAGCCTAAACACCACGCTCCTTCAACACTTCCCTCACATCTATAATACCCCTCTACTAACTGAGGGCATAAGCCCAAATTTCACCTCCATAAAAAATTATCTGGTTCAATATATGTAACATAGAATGGTTGGGTTGTGGAACAAATGCAAGTATGCATTAATCACCCCAAGTCTAGGATAATTTGCTGGTAAGGCCAAGTTGAAATTCTCAAAATTTTCAAATAATAGATCTTTCAATTATATCGACATAAATCACGTCTAGGATCATTTCGGCCCGAGGGCTTCCTGCTCTCCCATGAGAGTTTCCTCCGCAGCCTAATGGGAGCCGCTGTTAGGCTCTCCCAAATGCTGTTTTCCGTCTTCTTCCTGCTGCCTCACCTCCCCTCCCCTGTAAATTCTAGCCTCCAACTTTCCTTCTACTTTCCGATAGATTCTGTTTAAAGTTTTCCATTTCACAGTAAAACCCAAAAACATTTCCTGCATCTTTTCTTCCCCAATCGTCAGCCCAAAACTATCAAACCAATTTTCCAGCTCTAGATCTTATTTCATGGCGATGCCAAGCTATTCCTCTGAATTTAACATCTCAAAACACCAATTTATGGATATCAGATCTATCTTTTCTCTGCAATTGGTTCAAGAGTACTCAGAAAAGAGGATCATATTTCACTAAAGCTTGTTACACTTTGGAAAGGGCTTTTGAAATTCATTACGGCTTGGGTGGATAGCAGTGTTTTTCAGGTGAAATCTCCTCTTGAAACCCTCCTCTGATTGTTTGGCTGTTGGGTATTAGGGTTTAGAATTAATTTCCAGTCTTGAGGATATGTTTGTCTTGGATATATTGTTAATTATCTCAATCACTTGGACCCATTTGATAGTTTTTGGGCATTTTTATTGGATTATATTAGTCCTCAGTCTGGTGCAAATTTAGCTTCTTATGTGAGTTTCACTTAGTTAAAAGGGAACTTAATGAGTCTTGGGTTTGATCATGAAGCTAGCTGCTATATTGAAGAGATTGGCTCTTTGGTGCTGGTTGTGATTGGGTTTTATTTCACATTGAGCTTTCTATCAATAAATATGCAAAAGATGTTAGACATGATGGGTCTAGGCGTTGTTGATGGTCCTCGATGTTTGGGTGTGGAAGCTGATTATGGTCTTGAATGTTGGTATTCCACTAGTATGTGGACTGGTAAAGGAATACAAAGCAATCAGAATAAGTATCAATTAAACTTCCTATACTTGTGGGATGAATATTTCTGTTTTGTTCTTTCTGCAGCACATCTAGGCTCCAATGGTTGGTAGTGTTTTGATGTGGGAGATCTCCATGGTGTCAAGGTTTGGAAACACACTAGTTCTAGCTGCTGGACTGGATGGCAGTGCTTAAAGGATTTGCAGTTAATGCAGGTGTTAGGGTCTAGAAGCTGGTTTGGTGGTAGTTTTCATATTCTAAGGTGGAACTTATAAATAGATTTTCATCTCCTACTTACATATTCCCTGATACAACCTACATTTTAAGGAGTAGGTTTGGTGTTATTGATGACAATGAGGATTCAAGGATTGGTAGTGTGCTGGCTGGTGGTAGCATGCCCAAAGGTTAAATACCTTTTTTGGTCCTTCTACTATTGAAAAAAAAGCCCTTTTTTTGGTCCTTGTACTAAAAAAATTCCCTTTTTAATCCTTAAAGTTTGAAATCCAACCCCTTTTAATCCCTTCGTTAATTTTTGCTAGCGTGGCACATTATTTTAATGGGAACATCTGACATGGATATTCCACCATGTAAAGGTGCTTACATGGACTTAATAACACTCCTCCATGTCGCTCTCCCCGTGAAGAGAGAAAAACTACACTGGGAGAAAGCACCAAGAAAATGCACTAGCATTACAAAACAAAGTCAACGAAACTCTAACTACACTGTAGACTACAAATAGGCCAGTGCAATTTTTTCAAATGGCCACACAAGTCAACAAAAATGGCCATTCAATTCTACAAAATTGGCTAACTCCCAATTGCATTTTGCTTTTCATTTATTACCTTAGTTGGATTTTGCTTATAAATAACCATGTTCCCTCCGTTGTTTGCATCAAGTTTTAATCAAGTTTCAATTTGTAACTTCCTCTGTTGAGTGAATTTTTTTTAGAGTGAATTTTCTTAATTTATCTCTATATCTTAGGTCTTGCCAACCGAAGTGGTATTCTAGGCAATTGAATTCATCGTAGTAGGATTCTAAATCTTGCCAAAATCAGTGTTTCAATATCGACGTCTGCGCCAAAAACCCTAATCGATGGAACCTAAATTCTAAAATGGAAAAAACCCTAATCATCTTCCTTCTTTCGAAATTTTTGTTTTTCATTCATAATCAATCCTTTACATGTGAGGTTGGTCAATATATAATTGAGAATTCATAGGAATATTTTCATTGATAAAAATAAAAATTAATTACTAATTAAAGTGATTTATCAACTATAAACCCTAACCTCTCCTCT